TATCTAAAGACAACAGGGATTAATAGCACTAAAAACTAAGAAGGTGAGAACATGAAAGACGGGGGTATTTTATTACTGGCAATGTAACAGTTTATATACCTTTACAAAAGGTTACAAAAGCAATTTCATACATGTATATTCGTTTAGATTAAATTTAAGATTCTTTAAGTAAACATGATTAATTGGTTTATTTTAAAAAAAAATTCGATGGAGGCAATAATTACCATATTTGTATATGGTATTTGTTTAACATAGCCTCTGCCTAACTGTTAAAGATTATTTTAGAATTATTAGTTTGATATTTTAAATTGGTTAATCTTTCAATTATTGTTTCTGTCTTTAGGTGTACGTGTTATTTTTTTTTTTAAGGATAACTGAAACGTCAAGAAATAAACGATTTAATCCAATTAAATATAATAATCAGAATTCATCATATAAAACTTTAATAATATAATAGTTTATTGATTATTCAGTAGGCATAGAGTCTCCATTATGTTAACTACACTCAATGCAGTCTACACTTTCATTGTTCTACATTTATCAAATATTTTAAGCAGAGCAACGACGACCACAGACCGGTGTCGATTTGACCGTTGTCCCGTTTTGTAAGTATACTGAGTGTGCTAACTTAGTTTTTTAGCCAAGATAAAGTAATTTTTTTTTTTAGATTTTATTTCTGCAAAATAGAATAATCCTATTTTTTTAAAAGAAATTTTAATTTTTAGTATGATATAGATTATTTTTAGACGGTAATTACCACAAGTTATTGCCTTTCATGTAATTAATTTTTTTTCCTGTAAAGAGAAACCTTTATTTTTCAGCTCTATAACATTATAACTTTCTTTCTTATAATATAGTTTACATTGAAAACTGTAATTTATAAAATTTTAGAAAATGAAGTATTATCACTCTTAAGTAATATAGATATATTAATGACACCCACCGTCAGCTTACCTAATTTTTGTTATTGTAAAAGGGATGTGTCGCGTTGTTCATTAACTGACTTTCCTCCAAGCGAGGTCAAAATTTTTTCGGGAGTAACGAACTTGTAAGCTTTAATGAAAATTCCTCTCCACTTTGCTATATTTTGGGGACTCTTTATATTTATATTATTAAAAACCCTTCAAAGAATCTTTTAAATATTGATTTCAAAGTTTTATAACATAAGAATATAGAAAAATAACATTACAAGTTATTGATTAATTAACAACTTCACTATTTAGCGTTACAAACTTGTTTTGATAGGGTTCTTTCTTACAATGAAATCCACTTAATCTCCACAAAAACTTTCTATGCTCAAACAGCATTGAAATATTTGTAAGTTACATTTTTAACGTTTGATTAATATTAGTAACTTAATTTTCTTTACATAAAGAATATTGACTGGTAACCGAATCACATATATAGAGGATAACTCCTTCAAAGAACTTAGTGCTTTACTATATCTGTATGTGTGTTATTGCAGTCTATAGCATATACTATGCGTTATTAATTGATATTAATAAATAACAAATAAGAGTTTTGAGTGATAATCTTCTTACTGTCGTCACTCACGGTATATTTGAAGGCCTTGGTAAACTTCAGTATTTGTAAGTTGTTACAATGTTATGTACCGTTTGAAAGTTGATTTACTGTATATACATGAGCAGCAAACATAAATAATTTTTTATTATAATATTTTCTGTTTCATTTAACCTAAATACATGTTGCTTATAGTTTTTGTAGCTAAAAAATCATAATGTTACTTGTAGTTTTAAGCATTATGCCCATGTATATTATATACGAATCTATAATATTTAGGACCTTGTTTTTATGCCTTTTTAAGGTGGGTGTTTGGGCGTTTACTTTATGGTGTGGTGGGCCTGCCTTCTTATGAAAATACCATTAATATATTTAATTTTACTGATTAAGCAATTTTTCTTAGTGGCCACACGTACATGCAAAACTCTCTTATGAAGCTATTTAACGATATAAATGTCTTAGACTTCCTACAACTTTAATTAACTAATTTTAATATGACCCTGTAAGTATATAAAAAAGATAAATAAATTAAGAGGTGAGTAGTGGTTATAAGTATATTTATCTTTCAAGTTAATAGAGTTAATGTGGTTTGCACAATATATTAATAAAAAAATTTTATTATATAATTTCGTTTAAAATAATCTAAATAGCAATATTATTCCCAACAGTTAACTCATTATCACAACTACATAGTTTTTGTTTCCAATAATATCTAGCTGTTTAATATTTTAAAATCATAATACTAATAGAATTTAAGAATATAAGTATAAAAAGATTTCGCCCCCAATCCTTAGGAAGGTAGGCGTTTTTATATAAAAAATATGGACGTTTTACGTTTTACAACTTTTAAGTGCTGGAAAAAGTTTTTATCAACGTGTCGCCTTTATTATAAAATATTATAAATAACATATTAATATAGCATTTAAAGGTTTATAGCGTTCTTTTAAAGTTTTTTTAACCATTAAGATTTATAAAAATAATCAAAATAGGTACCTTGACCGAAACATAATTACCTCTCTAAACGTTGATACTTTTGCAACACTTAAAGAATTGCGTCACATGTAAAATTCATTAAAAGTTTATTTATAAGTCTAGTCATGTAATAATAGCGACCAATTACTGATTGCGTATTTTTTTAAGAGGGCTGGCAAACAATCGACTGGCTTTGCTAAACTCCTCGATCTTTAAGGGACTTGTTAACTTGGAGCTTTTGTAAGACTAACAGAACAGCGTTGACAAATTGTAGCATTGTTATTCTCCTGTGCGACACTCTCTTCTAACTTAGTTTTACTATTTAATCAGGAAAAAGTTAGCTGTCTTTTTTGTAGTAGCATATTTATATAAATAAGGTAACTTATTTGTGACGCTGAACCGTAGATCATTCTATAACAATGATATCAGAGAAATTAAAACAGGTTTATTCGCAGAGTTAAAGGATTTAACCGATGTGTAAGTCATATATTAAGCGTTATGTATTCTATTATTCTTCCTAAAACTGTCACCTTGTTAAATAACTTATAACTGATGAAGTAACTAGCCTTCTTATATATATACTTGATATTTAAATTAACTAATTATAAAATTAGTGAGCTACGAAACAATCCTATAACTGTTATTGAAGCAAACGCATTCAATGAGATATTTAATTTTGAAAATTTGTAAGTAATGAACACTTAATCCTTCAACTTTTTAATGTTTACAACTACAATTAGAAAAATTACACTTGACCTTTCACTGAGCTGTTGGTCACGTGACCATTACAAAGACAAACTTAATTATTCGGACGAGTATTGCACCAACGATGGAACTATTGAAGACTACGAAACCTTTTTAAAAAATAAAGAATTAGCGTAATTTGCACAGAGCATCTCTAAGGAAACTAATACAAAACTTTTTTTTTATAATATAATAACGTGCAAGGTTTATACTTCACTCAGCATGCTAGAGCGCCTTTATATAGAAAGGAAAAAAAAACCAGTCTTTTAAGTAACCATGCATTTCACTTATCTTATAAGGGGTCTATTTAGTCAACTAGACGGCATAAAATAAGATGGATACACAATAATTATATATTTGACATATATAAAACAGACCGGATTTCATTAATATTTAATGATATTGTATATGAAAAGGAAACAATTTGAGACGAAACTCTTGTTCTTTATTACTAAAGCTTAGAAGGCGATTACAACATTGTTTTTTAGTTTACACTGAAGAGCCAACCCTGACCGCTTTTTTTCCCGTGTGCTACAGAGCTCTTTTAGAGATAGTGATTATGATTATGCCCTAACTCAAAGGTTTTATAAGCGGCATCGTTTTAAATTTCGAAGTATAGTATTTTATTACTGCCTTTTTAAGCTAGCGTTGCCATGCGTACTCATTCTTTACCTCGCTAAACTTACCTTAAAACATATTTACCTTTAATGTTTGCCTATAACAACTTTGTACATATTTTTTTTACTAAAGATTGAGAAACCAAGTCGTGGTACAGAAAAATCACCTTCATTACTATCTTGATTAGATATCATAAACCAAGCGAGAAAAGACTAGTCAGTTGTTTACGTGTGTATTCTCTTTTTTATTGTAACTTAGAATTATGTAAGTTTATTATTAACAATTATATTAAATGTTCACTGTTCAATTCAGGTACTCCTTCAAGAACTTAATAACACAATGAATAGAGCACTAATGTTAAAATAAAGGATGAAAAAAGCTCTTTATACAACGTATATAAACCAACCTCTTTTTATCTAAAATAATAACTGTATCTTCAAAGAATATATAAATTATAGGTGCAAAGAAGTTGCTAGAGATTACGTATACATAGAAATATAGGATGTAATCAATAAGCTTTTTATAATTAATAGCTAATTGTTGGTGTAGAATTAGAATAAAAAAACTTTTTCTAAAAAATTTATCAAGTCTAATAATATTGTAGTAAACATTAAAACAAGGTAGTCTAAAGAAAAAATCGTATCGTTATTAAAAGCTAAGCATTTATGGGGGGGGGGGGATAAAAAAATTTGTATTAAAAAATTAAAGTAGCTCTGTTTATGAAACAATAGTAAAGTAGCAACTTGGAAAATACATAGTAAACGTAAATTACATATACATCAGTAGGTAGTTATAAATTAGTTGCTCAAAAATGGGGTCTATTATTTTTATAATAAATTAATGGTAGCAAAGATAATTAGTACAAATTTAATTTACGATTTAAAGTACAAAACTTTGGTTGAAGAGCATAAAAGTAGGTAAAACTTACAAAAAAAAATTTATTAAATGTCGCTTATTCTAGTACGGAAAGTCTAATAACGATTTATGGAAAATAGACAAGGTAAATAGGTTACATTTAAAGTATTTCTTACTCTCAAGTTAATTACCTGTTATCTATTATACAAACTGCTTTTAAAAGAAAAAAAAAATAATTTTCAATCTTGTTCTTTAATACTTATTACACTTTTAAAATAATTATTCAGTAGTTATTATTTGAACATAGTGTCTGCGAAAAGTGACAAGTGTTCATGTACTCTCGCCTTACAAAATCTTTACCAAATGGAAAAATCTGTGGGGGTGACCCTTCATTTAGGTTATACCAACCATTATTCAAAGCATGTTTTCAACGGCGAGCTCATACAAGAGCGCTTTATATTCTTCAGTACCGCAATAGGCTCTGCCGTACCTTCGCAGCAGCTCAACTGAAAATATTACCCTGGTACCCTACAATGCATGAGCTTAGTACACTAATGAATCGAATTAACTTAAATTTCTTTGTACCAAACACTAAATCTTTTCGACACGTATAGAAGCTCTGGTCGAATAAGTACGTTAGCAAAACCTTTCACCCTTGAAGGTATTGCGTATACAATATATAAGTAGGTAAAAAAACTAATAAGCAATCCGTAGCGCTTAAATATATGAACGCATAAAGCGTTTATTCAGCGCCTTAACTAAATTAAAAGATTTTTACAATTAACATCAGTTTTTTTAGTTGTTACAAATTCTATACCTCACTACGCCCTTTTCTCCCTTTCAAGTGACAGAGCACTTCCTTAGAAAAAACCTAAGATCAATTATATCAAACCCTTTTAGTAAATCCACCGAATAAATAATTTTAAAGTGTGCAAAGTAATTCGTAAAATTTTATAGTTTTAAAAATACTATTCTGTACTTTTTATGTTTACTTAATTTAAGATCATATAGGGTTAGTAAGGTCAAGTCGTTAAAAAACAATTAATAATAGCAAAACTAAGTAAGTGTTATTTTCACTAATTAACGCGCCTATTTTAGAGGCAGAATTATTAATTAGATGAGAAATTTTACGTTTTATGCAAGCACTTGGTAATAATAGTCTGCAGGAAATCAACTCAAAAGCTACACCTCTACCTAATAAATTATTAAATTAGTGGATGCACATAAAGACGGCTTGAAGAGATCTTTTTTTTTTTTATAATCACAAATATATAATTTTTTTATACTATTACTCGGAAATCCACACGTTTTACTGTTTACAGGTTAACTAATTTTGTAAATTAAGTTTTTATCACCATTATATTCTTATTAACAAAAGTAGGTCATGATACATTTAAAATCTGGAACGTTAATTATATTCTCTAATCAGCATCATGAGTTCGCTATAGGTTTATGACAGAGAAAAAGAGGAGAAGGGCCAATTCTATTGAACCGTAAAGGGAGGGTTATTTGTTAAAATAGCTAAGGGGGTTAACTTAAATCTGTTATTTTATCTAAAAGGTGTTTTCCTTTAAACCAGCTATCTACGAGGATTCTTTTTGAATTGAACCTAGGTCATCCTTCTTTGCTTTTCTAGGCCGTAGACGATAAAAGAGCAAGAGTAAAAAATAATTCAGCGAACAACAACAGGCAAAAAAAACACAAATTTTAAAGAGAAACACCCTTTGTTTAATCGCAAAATTTTATGTACACAACCAAAATTCTTAAACTAAGGACACGTGACTACTATACATTGTGTCAACTAATAATATAGTTATTTAAATGTAACCTTAAATTTGGCGCTTAAACTGTATGCTGTAAGAAGATCATATATGGTTGACAGTATTTATATACCTCAAAGAGGTAATACAAAAAGTAGAAAAGGAATGCTATACACGTGGTACTTGTGTGTGGAATAAAACACATGGAAGAGTACTACGCGGTTGCAGTACGTATTTCATTAGAGTTAACTACAAGAGTTAATAGTTGCGAAACTGCTCTGATTTCGCTGAGCCACGACGATAACTCTCGATCAAAGCACGGTGACCTTACGTATTATTTAAAGTTATATATGTTTGTAACTAGCTTCGCTTGCCTAGAGCTGTTCTTAGGTGTGAGTGAAGCGGCTCAATAATAAGATTCCTTACATATATTAACGTTCTTACTATAGGCATTAAGACTACACAAAGAGAGTAGACTGAAATTAGTAACAAATATAGATTTATACTTTTTGCAATAATTCTGTTCATTTCCTTAAGGTAAAGCTATAGTTTAAAATAACTTTATAAACAGCAAATCCGCCTTTTATGCTATATTAATTTGGCAAACCAACTAGTAGTGACTTGATGTTGTTTATATATTGCAAATTATAAACTACTGACATAAAACCGTACAAACACTAGGAAGACAATGAGGTGAAGCTTAAAAAACTTTTAAAAAAAAGACAAATAATGAATATATATAATCCATATAATTAGTTTTTTATAAATTTAATAAATAATATTCTAGCAGTAAGAGGTAGGAAATATTGCACTTCTTACCTTTCTTTTAATTTTGCATTCTAACAATATATATATTAGCAAACCATCGAAAAAGAGTGTGGATTTTTCACCGTAGTGCAGTAGGTAGTTATAGCATCTAAGCATAGCTTCCGTTGGTGAAACTCAATACTCCATGGTAAAAGTTTAGTTTCAATTCTATCTGCTAAAGATACTAGAACTTTTCTAAATATGTGATTAGCTATTACAAATTTACAAATCTTTATTTTAAAAGAACTAACTTTAATATTTCGTTATTAAATTTTATGATAAGTATTTGGAAATACAAATAAGTTACAAGTTGTACACGACTTTTCACATTTTTTTCAAATTATATAAATTATGAAGTCTTGTCGGTTTTTTCCCCCACCATCTTGTAGGTAAACAATCCTAGCTTGGACAGTTAAGGATTAAAAATTGTAATAAACTTTTAACCAAAGTACTGTGCTATTAAGATCCCTGTCAAGGGAATCAATTTGTGAAGACGTAAAAAGTTACTAGCTTTGAAATCTATGATATCCTAGTTTACCCCTTTTTATGAAAAAGACTAAGTGAGCTCCAGGCCGCTTTCCCAAACTATAACTAAAGCCTTTTAATATATAAATTAGAAACTTTTTTAGTAACAAATAATATATGCAAAGGTTTAATTCTGCTATTTATTGCTTTTTTTAAACTTTTACTTTTTAATCAAATGTCCAATCTCTCTTATTGGCTTAATGCTAATCAGAGGTTACCTGTAGCAAACCCAATAACAAGTGTCAGTAATAGATATTATATAAAAAAAGTTTTATTATAAATAAACTCACAAGAACAAAACAGAGTTGATATCAGATAACTATCAGCTTAAAGATTGTAAAACAAAAAAAAATGGAGGAGGAGCGGGAGGACACCCAGTTATATAGAGAAATAAACGAAACTGGAGCGTTCTTCTGTAGCCGAGTGAGCGCTTATATACATGTAAGTTAAAAGCATGACTTAAAAATAACTAGGACGCTCCGAATTACGTATTGCAACTAGTATATACTTTGGAGGCAAAAAGTAATTATTGTTTATTTCTTCCTCAGTGATAAATTGTTTGACCAGCTCTTAAGTTATCTCTCATTATAGGTAACTCGACAGTCTCTTACTAAAGCGCCCAAGTTCTAAATTTAAGCAATATACCTCGATAAAAGAGTAAACAGACAAAAAGAAGTACAGTCAACGGTAAACTTTAACTTAAATATAATTCGAGTGTTGTGTGCCACTTATCAGAGCGCTAAGAAGAGATATTTTTACAGTAGTTATTTTAGAAGTAAAAGTATATAAACAAAACTTCCACTGAGTGTAGTAGCACTAAAGAAAGAGATAAGCATCCTGTGCAAATATTACAAAAAAAAAAAGATTAAGTAAAACATATGATACGTCAACGCCATCTCACACTGATATAAGTTTAAATGGGAGTTTGTTTCTGTTTATATTTCCTTTAAAGTAACCAATAAGTCTAAAGTAATAATTTTTTAAACGGGAAAACTATTTAAAACTGTATGCATTATTTCTAAATATTTTCTGGTAAAACCAATATTAAGAAACTTAAGCAATTATGGTTAGTTTTACTATTTACGTTTTACATCAGCTAGATAATTAATGTCTTATTTAACTTGAATTTTAAGTTTTATTTTAATAAAAGTAACAAAAATTTCTACTATAATTAAATTTTATTACAAGTAGCTATTTACAGGTTAAGTGTCGTCATATCTGTTAAGAACTATTATTACGGCAAGTAACACGTCTTCAAGGTTTTTAACCCTACACTAGTAGCGAAGGGGGGGGGGGGGGTTAGACATATCTGGAAATTATTTTTTCTAAATTTTCAAATTTTGATAGAAGTTAAAGTTTAGTGTGACATGTATCCTAATATCTCAATAAACAACAAGTTTTCAAAAATTTAAGGTATTTTTTATTTAATATAAAAGCAAAAAATTTAAACTCAAGGGGTCTGAGAGACCTACTGCGACTACTACCGTCTAAAGAAGAGATGCGACTGCTGTAGGTTAAAACTGCATATTTTTGATTGGACTGCTAAGTTTATTTAGCTTTAAATTATATTTTAAATGAATTAAAAATTTTAGTTTATTAGTTAGTTTTCATATTAATTAACTTGGAAAATTTAATACACCGAGGCAATATTTTAATAGGTAATATCGCGACTATGCGCTACTTACTACTTACGCTTTTCCTTAGAAAAGTTTTCGTAGATATATTGGATTGCACCCAACCGTCCATAAATAGCTCAGAATGGTAACTTAAAGCTTTACTAAAATGGCTTGTTCTTGTACATTTTCTATTTGAAAGCTTTTCAACAAGCGAGCGTAGATCCAAAGTTAAAATTTAACAAGAAATTTTTTAAAACCTTTCGAAATGTGTGAAGTTCTAGTATTTTTAGAATTGTTGTTAATGTTAGCTTGCGGTTGGAAGTTCCTTACAGCATTTACGCTTTGTAGACTTGTTAATGAGTATATTTTCCTTTTGGTAAATTATTATTTTATCCTCACTCCTTAAAGGTATCTTGGAAATTGTAACTTAACATCTTTTCCATCTACCGACAAAGTGACATCATTGACTGTTACAATACTGTAAGTTTATAGAGTTCTATTTTTTCAAAAAAGTTATTAATATATTTTTTATAGGGATGTTCAACGTAACAAGTTAAGTTCTATTAACTGTGACACATTCAACAACCTTACTTCTTTAATATCTCTGTAAGCTTTGATATTATTTACTGGGTAGGTTACAAAGACTTTAAAGCAATTGAAATTCTATGAACGAAAAGTTCAGCCATAAGTCCGTAAAAAAACTACGCATTTTGATATAATCGCCTTTTTAAGGCGTGGAGGGAAACTCCTCTTAACTTTTTTAGCTTAAAAGTGAACTTTACGAGACGCATAAAAAGTTTCT